GATTGACGCAAATTTTTTTTTATCAATTGTCACTGAGTTTATTGTTATAAGAACATCTGTAACATTTAAACGTTCATTGCATAGAATATTGAAATTTATTATCTATTGTAAACAGTTTGGTTTTCTTAAAATTTATGTTTGACCATGTTTTTGATATATAAAAAAAAAAAAAAAGTTTAATACAAAATTTTAGAGAAAATATTTACAAAAAATGATATATTTTTCCTTTTTTTTTTTTTTTTTTTTTTTTTTTAAAAAAAAAAATCTTAAGAAAAATTTTTGGATTGCCATAATAACATTTAATTTTAAATCAAATGGCAGAAATGTTAAAATTCGAAAACTCGAAATGAGTCAACAAAATCCGAATATTTAAAATAAATGAAGAAAAATGAAAAATCTAAAATAAAGGAATTTATGCGAATGGAAAATTTGATACAAAATTTTTTGACTACCACCCGACAGCTTTTTTCATAATATAAAAAACTCCTACGGGTGAATTAATGAATCAAACAATAACAATAAATATATATTTCAAGGATTTCAAAATGTTTGTCTTCACTGATAATATGAATCCGCAGTGTTAATGTAATAATAATCCTTAAATTTGGTTCGAATAAAACCATCGATGAATATATACGTGCCGTTAATATTTGAGTAATCGATTTAATAATAAAATGATAGTAAAACTGTTAAAAGTAAAATGAAAGGATAAGTAACCCTTTGTATGCGAACGTATAAAACCATCAAACTTACCCTTAGAAAGCGCTAACAATCATCTATCTGAAAATCACTTTTATTATAACAATCAACCATCTGGGAACCATTTTCTAGTTAATTCGTTAGGAATGTATCTACGATTTTCCGGATCCCACGATTCAAAATAGCATCCAACTAACTCGGTAGTTACAGGACCAAGTGCCTTAGCCAATTTCCAGTCGGCCTCATCGCCTAAATGGTCTCCGTAGACATTGCTAGGAACCATTCTTAATAACCGTTCCGAATTCGACGGCTCAAGCATTAAAGTTCTCTGACCACAATATATAAACGATCCTCGATGTGTAAGAACTTCGTAAAACGGTTCATCACGCGGAGATTCTATATCCTGAATAATCCAAAGTAGGTTTTAAACACTAGTATCCGAATTTGTGAAAACAAATGAAATACTTAATAATGAAGATTACCGTCCAGACAAATTTAATCGCATTTTCGGCTATTTCTCTATTATAAGCTGCGTAAATAAAACCACCGAATGTCTTAAATAAATATGGTGAAACTTGGATAATTGACAAAAAAAAAATAAAAAATCCTACCTCTGTCCCAACGACAAACCACGCCAAGGCTATGGAACTTTTTGAAATTAACTACGTCTCCAATGTAAAATTTCGGATCTTTTTTTCCTAATTGACCACGAACTGACCGGCCAGACTCAAAATCCCAATCAATACGATCATCCTCCTCCAACCCTTCTATATCAGCTTTCACATCTTCAATTAATTCTTGCCACATCTCTTGTTCTACTTCTGTACCCGCAGCTAAATAATTTTCAATATCAGCCAATGCTATTCGTCCGAGTTCATAATCCTCCGGGTATCTATATCTTGTTGCGACAAACGACCACCAAAAGCTCATAAGCTTACATAAATCGCCAAGAGTACAATCTAGATACTCTGGTGATCTTACGAAATGAAGCTGAAGGGCTACACCATATATGATATCACGATTATATCCACGAATTGCAGTTAGTGCAAGCCAATAGTCTTGTAAGAACAATCGAAATAATTTCTTTTGTGGGATGAATTTATACTCTGGCATATATGCACCATAGTATTTCGAACTATGTTTATCAAATTGTTCAATTGTAAGTACTCCTGTTTCCGAGTGCTTTTGAAAATCAATATGATATATATCGGTTTCTTCTTCATATTCATCGTCATCACTTCTTTTGTCTTGCTTGTCTTGTTCCATTTTCGTTATATTAGATGAACTTT